AACGACTTCTGTTTCTCGCGACAGCTCGCCAATTTTTCTTTTTTATTAAATCGTGCGCGTGATGGCGACTCCCCTGGAGATATTCCAGTCGATTTGAGTTCGTTCGAGTCGGCCTGATCTATCGGTCTATCACCTTGTACACGCGGATTCTGCGATTAAGGGAAACGCTGGGAGATCGGTGGCTCTAAAACCGCGAACGGTCGAAAGCGAAAGGTTCTTCGAACGGACAGCGTGCGAATTGATTGTTATTCGTATTCACCCGTTTATCTTTCTCTCTCGCTTCGAGGGAAGATCGACTCCGAGGAGGAGGAGGAATCCGAGCTGTGGAGGCTGCCTCGATGCAACCGACACATTCTATATACGTGCATTCCTCGCGTGTCGATTCTTTCATATCATAATAAGATTGCCAGTAGCATTAGATCCGGCCCGTTAAGTTTTGCCAATAGATCAGAATAATTTTATGGTGCAAGGAAGAGGATAAAAACGCGAATAGAGACTGTGTGTATGGGGATAATAGAATATGACGCGGAGTGCGCACTTTGAACGAAAGATTTGATGAATCCCGAGTCGAAATTTTGATGCTATTTTGACGCTCTTAAGGATAGTTTGCGCCTACTTAGACGGTTCATAGCCTAGGTAAAATCTACTTTGATGATATTGATACTCATTAACTTCTCTTTTGAACATTTAACTCTACATTTGTCAAAATTTTGACGCTACTTTGACGCTCTTAAAAATAGTTTGTGCCTACTTGGATAATTTACAACCTAGGTGAAACTTATTTTGACGATATTAACACTCATTTCCAAGTCGAAATTTTGACCCTATATTAAACCTTGAATTCTATAAAATACATATATTCTATGTAGGAGCTAAAGTTTCTATAGAGGTTCGCAACTGAACCTACTTTATTTCCTAAGATCCTACTAATATACAACTTAATTTGACGCTAAAGAAAGCGAAAGAGGAAATTTCAGGCATCATCAGGGTCAAAGTAGGAGTAAATTATATCATTAGAATATTAAATCTACTTTGCTATCTTAGTTCCTATTGTGGTGTAGAATTCAAGGTTCAACATAGGATCAAAACGACTCGAGTAAAATTGCAAACTATTTTCCGAAATACTTGACGCTAGTTTTTATAATCACTCGCTTGCCATACAGTATATTGAGAGAAAAAAATATCTAAGAAATATAAAAAATATTTATTCGGTGGATAGTAATAACATATTTTTATTTACACGTTAATATACATATTTTTGCATTGAGAAAGTGCATATTTTCAAGTAAGAAAATTGTCAACATTTTCTTAAAATCTTAAACTTTGTTATGAAAACAATTGTTCATAATATATAAATACACTAGTTTTAAAAATATGAAATATTTTTATTCTTTAGATATTTTTCCTTCACAGTATGTACATTACTTTTCGAACACAATCTAAATTTTTTGTTCCCTAAGTTATCTTTTCAGACTTACAAGACCAGATAACTGATAAGAATAAAGATAAGATTAAATGGTGCATATAGTTTCGTGTTTTTAAAATCATTATCTAAAATCTAATCATCTTCGACTTGGAAAAGTCGATTAATTTAGTGGAAATGGCCCATTTATATGCAAAAAAACTGAATAATTGAGCAGCCCGTTATCTCTCTTTCTCTCTCTGTCTTTGTTTTTTTCAATTCGATGTATAATCCTTAATTTTATTTTAATTACAGACACAATTTCAGTTACTTTCGCCAAAGCATCATTTTGATGGAATATATCCCGAGTCGAAATTTTGGCCCTATGTTAAACCTTGAATTCTGCAACACAGTAGGAGCTAAGTTAGCAAAGTAGGTTTAATTCTTTAATAGTTTAATGATACAATTTACTCCTACTTTGACCCTGATGATGTCTGAAATTTCCCTTTTCATCTTTTTAGCGTTAAAATAGGTTGTATTATAGTAGGATGTTAATAGTAAAGCTGAAAATAGAGTTAAAATTACGACTCGAGTAAGTTAAAAAGAATCAAAAGAAGCTGATGTAGATTTCAAAGTATTAAAATAGATGTTAAATGAAATTTGTAAAGTTGAATAGAATTGAATAGTAAGGTAGAATCAAAATTTCGACTCAGGATGTTTTTATGTTGGAATGATTTTCCGGCGTCCTTATATCCGTAGGAAATTTAATATATGCGATCACGAGAGTGCACTCTAATAGCCTGACATTTCATTAAGTGAATCTCCCCGGAGCAATTGGTCCATCGATAAAAAATCTCGAACGCGTCATAAATCTCGATATCCCACTAAATACGACTTTGTGGAACGCGCACGGTGTGTGATTATCGCGTAATTATCGAGTCGGAAACGCAAAAATCGTTTAGGAGATCGTAACGGAGAGATCCTCCGGAAATAGATAATTAACGCTCGTTAGCCGCTCGGCCGAACCGGTGCGTCCGGACGATTATTTGAAGATTATTCCGGCGACCTCGCCATTTCAAGCGCCCCGACGATTAATCTCGCGAGTGGCTTACCGTTTAATACTCTGCTATTCGATCGCTACGTGCGTATTTCGTACGTAACGTAAGTTTCGTACGTAACTCGCGTAACATAAGTTTTCAGACATACAAGAACAGATAACTGATAAGATTAAATGATGTATATAGTTTCGTGTTTTTAAAACATATCTAACATCATCTTCGACTTGGAAAAGTCAATTGATTTAGCGGAAACGCCCCATTTATATGCAAAAAAAAAAACGTTACATTCTCGCATACGTCGCGTGGACTGATTCGCGTTGCATTCGAATATCTTCAGAAGTAAATGATACTTCTAGCTACGAAGTATTTCTTGGACACATAGGATCGCAGATTAATAACAGATTAATTTTTCCGTAGTGTGTATATGTGTGCAATGTAATAAAATAAATAAAAACTCCTATACCCGAATCGAAATTTTGACCCTATATTGAGCCTTGAATTCTACACTGCGGTAGGAGCTAAGATAGCAAAGTAGGTTTAATTCTAATGATATAATTTACTTCTGCTTTGATCCTGATGATGTCTGAAATTTCCGCTTTCATTTTCTTTAGCGTCAAAGTTGTATAAAGTAGGATCTTAGGAAGCAAAGTAGATTTAGTCGCAAACCTCTATTGAAGCTTTAGCTCCTACATAGAATATATGTAAATATTTTATAGAAATATTTAAAAATTTTAATAAATAACGAAACAGAAACGTCAAATAGCATACAGAATATACATTTTATTTGTTGCATATATTTCAAACATCATCAGGGTCGAAATAGGAGTAAATTATACCATTAGAATTAAATCCACATCTTGCTATCTTAGCTCCTACTGCGGTGTAGAATTCAAGATTCAACATAGGGTCCAAATTTCGACTCGGAAATGAGTGTCAATATTGTCAAAATATTCTTGCACTAATAAATTATCAGGATTTATTCGTGTGCATAAAGACAGGTTGCCTCTTGGTTTCCATAATAACGTTGTATATAGGTTGCAATGCAGTGGTTGTGATGCGTCTTATGTTGGTCAAACTAGTAGAAGACTCTCTACACGTATTGCTGAACATAGGAGAATTCCTAGGAGTTCTACGGTGGAGTTAACGGCCATACAGGAACATTGAGGAAGAACCATGATTTTGATTGGGATCATACCAAAGTTTTACATGAGGGACGCTTTTACTTGAAACGCCTGATCTCTTTTCATCAAATTTCAGAAGCATGGTCTTAACTCACAAAAGGATACTGAATATTTGGGCATCAGCTACTGCGGCTTGTTATGAAAATAAACTTTGTTTTGGTTTCTTTCTCTTCCACAAGTCGTTTCCGCAATGTTAATGCTAGGTATATAAATCTGTAATTATTTGTATTTCGTAGACGTGGCGATGTTATCGTTGACAGGATCGGTTTACTTTTAGCTGAACTCAATAAAGGTATTTTATATTGTCAGATTTAATTATTTATTATATTTCAATTTTACTTATTTTTATTTTATGATTTTTATAGTTATGACGGCTACTTCTCAATATTAATTAACTATTTAATATTATTTCGGTAACGGTCTTGTCAGCTTTAATATTGCGATTAACATTAACATTTACGCAGGTCTTTAACTAATTGTAATGCGTTCGTGTCGTAAACCTTGAGTTTTTATTATCACTGAAGAGGGTTCATGGTTGAGCCGAAACGTATGATTGTTTTATATTGATTATTCATGTTCAATAAATATTACACGATTTCCTAACACAAGGAAGGTTTTTTACCCATATAGTATATAGCACTATTAGTCCTGTGCTTGAACTCGAATTGCCCTTTTTCCTAGGTTTCACCTAGGTTGTAGATTATCTATGTAGGCTCAAACTATTTTTAAGAGCGTCAAAGTAGCGTCAAAATTTTGATAGAATTAAAGGTTCAAAAGAGAAGTTAATGAGTATAGTCAAAGTAGGTTTCACCTAGGCTATAAACCGTCTAAGTATAAACCGTCTAAGTATAAGGCGCAAACTATCCTTAAGAGCGTCAAAGAAGTATGAAAATTTCGACTCGGGTATAGACGCAGATACACGGGAAATTTTGTCGTTGTTCAGATTATCTCGAGGAAATTCAATAAAGAATTTACTTTCGCGATAATCCTCGCGATAAGGAAGACTCTCATAAACGCGCGCGGCCATTTTTAAATTGCCGGAGAACGCAGTGCCGTTCCAGCGAGGTGCCCGATAAATAGGGGAGACGTCCACTAGAGGGTGGCCGCCATTGAACTTGTTTTCGGCGAGAATTTGATCAAATATTAAGATATGAGAATTAAAAAAATAAATAATGAATAATAAATGAAGAACAATTAAATCCTCATGCACTTCAATATTTTTGGGTGAACTACGTGAATCGATAACGACTCAGGGGGCGCAATAATTCACGCGAAACATTGCGCGTCTGTTACGTGCCAGATTCATTATTCATCAGAGAGATGATGCGAATGAGCGACGCGTAGGCTCTCGTCGTATACCTGAATGTATCCCGCCGTCGACGTCAGCGTCCTCGAAGACGGACGACTCGACGCACTCGTCATCGGCGGCATCCTCGACGGTATCCTCGTCTTTGTATCGATCGACGTTCGTTTTCTCAGCTGTGCAGGGGCTGTCCACCGACGCGTGTCTGCCGATCCGCACCAACGTGCTGTTGCTTCTCGCCAACTTGGTGCTGTGCGTCCTGCGAATCAGCAGGTTCGTCAGAGTTGTGTTCTGTTTGCTCCTGGACTCTTGCTGACTGAGCCTGCTGTAATCGCGCGTGGAGCCGACCGACTCGATTCTGCTCGACTTCTCCTCTGTACTTTCCGATTTCTTCCTGCCGGCGTGCTGGTCCTCCACCTCGAAGCAGGCGATGGTGTTGTTGAGGCGACTGTCTTTTCTGCCGGACTCCTTCCGACCGGCGAAACGGCTTTGAAAACGCTCGATGGTCTTGAAGGACCTCGTCCTTTCCACCTTCTTTCTTTGTTCGGCCTGCGTGTTGCCGGCCCCCCCGGGTGTTGCTCCCCGATCACACCTAGACGCCTCGAAGATCCTCGTCAAGGACTGCACCTTGCCTCTCGCCTCCGGCAACGTCTCCCCCGCGTTTCTTCGCGCGCTCGCCGAGAGGCCGTCATTGTTGCTCAAGGTGCGCGTCAATGAGGCGCCGCTGCCACCGCCGCTGCTCGGCGTACTCGCGGACGTCTTGGACGCGCTGCCGATGGGGAAGGTGTTGCAGACGAACTTTTCGCCGCAACTGCCGTCCGTCGAATAGCCCTTCGTCAGTTTGGCGATCGACTGCCGCGCCGGCTCGGCGCCGCCATCCAGCGATACGTAGAACGTGGAGCGCCTCTTCGGCGACTCTTCGGGGTTCTCGGCGTTCAGCATGACTCTTCACATTTCCCGGAGCTCTTCGGGCCGATGTGAAAGCCGCGCCTTCGCCGCGAGATCACGTTCTCCTCGGCGTCGTGCTCGCGCCGTCGTTCATGTTACGCCCGTGCGAAGTCCGCGACTCGACTACCGCGAAGAATCATAACTGTGATGCGGCTCTTTCCGCGCGCGCGCGCATGTCGACGAACGAATTTTCGATGCGTCCCTTATCAGCTACCTCGACACGCGCGTTATCTCGATGCGAGGCAACGGCTCGTAGTATCGCCACCGGCTATCACACTCTACTCGGCTATTTCAGCGCGTACACCACGTATGCCACGTGGTGCACCACGACGGTGCGATTCACTCCGCGCGGACGTGCGTCGTCTTGTCGTGTATCGGATGTTCCACGAGTGTCGAGCAAACTGCTCCGTGTCAAAGGTGTGTGTGCGTCGTCGGGGTCCCGCAACGTCATGCGGAGGAGGGACACGCCTTCGGCCCTCGGAGGAGCCGCGGATTAACCCGAGAGTGAGAGCCTGAATCGGGTGCATAGGATCTTCAGGCTCAGGGTAATAACAATGATTACGTCCCTCGCGTCTCTCTTTTCAGTCTTGCTCTTTCTCTCTCTTCTTCTTCTTCGTTTCTCTTTCTCTCTCTTTTGATCGGATCAGTTTTCCGCGACGGCCCTTTCGAGAGATCGCCGAGTCGACTGGGTCTCCTCGGGATACCCCCGTCCGTCTCCTTCTCTGCCTGGACGGCACGACGTGCACGCGCTAAATATAGACGAACTATCGAGCAGCGCGGCGTCGAGAGCGAAGGCAGCACGAGAAAGACAGCACGTGCGTCGTTACGACGTACCACGAGACGAATATCAGCTGGCTGCGTTATCCCCGCGCGCCGATACGACGCGAGGATGACGCGAGGCGTTGAACCGTGGAACGCGACTCCTCCGTCGTATCCTCCTCTTCGTGACGACGACGGCGGTGGCGATGGAGTCGCCTCTTCCGCGAAGGAGTCTTTTCTCTTCTGTTTTATACGCGTTTTATCCGTACATTACGCCTCTTCATGCGCATCGCTCAGTAGTCGGCGCGAGTCGCTTCCTCTTCGTGAACTTTCAAGAACTCTTGGGAATTCTCCCGTATCTCATGTGTACATTTTGTGTCTTTTGTGTGTGTTTGATTTGATATGTATACTCTTGCGCGCACTTTGAGCGAATCTCTCTCGTTCTGTTTGCCCGTGCCTTCCGGAGAAACCGCGGTGAGCCGGAAGAAAGCCGGGTCGATCGCGAGAACTCGAGACGTGGAGAGGATGCGATCGCAGGTGGATAACTAACTGGCCGAAGAATCCGCGACGATCGCGGAATCGCCGTTGGTGGATAGGACGGGCCCGTTGGAATTGTTAGTAAAGCCGCTCGAGATTTACGATCGCGCCGAGAGGAGTCGGTCGAAGGGACTCTCACGACGATTTATGGAAGCATGATTATAATTCAAGGGAGAAAAAGCACGGCGTACCGTAATCTAGCATGGATCACGGAGATCACGTACGCACACGTACACACACATATACACACACATATACACAAGGTCCACGACGTTAACGCGCTCGACGGTCTCGCTCTCGCAGCTTCTTCGCTGTGTCTACTCCAGTGTTATGTTATTGTTGTTGATGCCTTCGCACTTGTTTCCGAGTCAACTGCGAGCCGCGGAATTCCACCGTATTTCGAGAAATCGCGCGGGCTCCATACGCTCCGACAACACAATGACGAGTCGCGTCGTACCACTCAGAGCGCGGGGGTAAACTGCTTCTCACCGGGACACAGTTCGACACTTGAGAAACCACGGAACTCAGACTCGGATCTCATCCACGAGGTACGACGACGTGTCGCGGTTTCACGGAGCGCGCCGTCCTCGCGGCGAGTCCTCGAGGACTACTCCGACAGTCGCTGGACGGCCGTGCGGAGAAAAGTAAGAGGCGCGTTCTCTGAGTCACGGCACGATCCGGCTCTCACGATCGCTCTCTCACGATCGTCCGGGAGAACTCGCGGGACCGCTCCTCTCTCTCTCTCTCTCTCTCTCTCTCTCTCTCTCTCTCTCTCTCTCTCTCTCCCTTTCTTTCGCCCGCGTGCTCCACCCGCGCTCGTCCCCAGAGAAGAAGAGATAGATCTCGGGAAGAAACGAGGAAGAAAGATACCGGCCAAGAGGCGCGAACGTCTTCCTCCTCTTCGTCACTCTCCGTTGCTGCGTGTTCCCGAGGAACGCGCGCTTCCTCGCGCGGTCGCGAGGAACGAGCACACGCTGCGGACGACGACGTAGCGCGATCGGCCCGCACCGCGGACGGACTCACGGCTATCTGGCACGCCGAGCTGGAGTTAATCCGAGCAGGCCGCGAGCGCGCCCTATCGGCGGTCTTTCTCGATGTGCGCGAGAGACAGAGCGAGACGGGGGGAGAGAGAGAGAGAGAGAGAAGGGGAGACAGAGAGAGATCGCTGAACGGAGGATCGGCGACGAGTGTATGCTGCGCTCGACTAGACTTCCAGCTGGAGCCGTTTAATCGCGATGACGACGCTCCATGACGCGGTGATAGCAGATTTTTGCGTGATTTTCATTAGGCGAGGCCTATTATTTTTGTTGATAAAGAACATTTTTACCTCATTTTATCGCTTAGTCGTTAGATCAGCGTTATGATAGACGCTTGTTCATAGAGCATGTGCACGTGTGTAGGTGTTTTTATCCTTTTTGCTGCGATCTACGATAGATCTACGATATTATAGCCACGTGAAAGTGTCCCGATAAGAGGCAGACCACCGGCAATGAGCTCGCGGCAATTAAGGCGTAATGATAACCGGAGAGGGAACTTCAAACGCGAGAGATCTTACGTAACGACGCGCTAATTGTTGCGGGCGCGCGATGCAAAGCGTTCCTACCGTTCACGTTAGAAATTTCGATTACGACCGACGACTAGATTAATATTGCGTGCGCGGGGAGCCGCGTCAACTTCCGCGGTGTTACACACGCATACGCGGCTGATTATGTAAGTGAAAAGGAAAAAAAAATATCTAAACAACCCAAAATCGCGAATAAGACGCGGTCTTGTCGCGTCGACTCGACAATTTCTTGCATTGTCCACTCGGCATTGTTATTCGAACGAAGGAGTTCACGAAAGAGTTCGGAACACATTCCAGAACACATTCCAGAACACATTCCAGAACACCTCAGGTTAGATGGATTGATTGCACAAAAAGATATCATTCTACCGCTAGAAGCGATTATTCAGATTATTTTTTTTTAATAATGGCCATCTTCAACAGAGAATATTTTCTTGATGATGATCTTAAAATATACTCATCGAATTTGAGAAAATCTTATTACCATGTACTCAAGAAAAGAATTTGTCTCCTTTATAAAAATATTATGAAACTTTATCGAAACAAAAGTTAGTTCGACTCGATGAGTACAGTAAACCTAAATTGGATTTCAATTTGATATTTCTGATTAAAATATTGAACTTACTGTACACAGAAAAATTATTTCTTTTTTAGCTTCTTATCTTCAGTATAGAATATTTTCTTGATAATAGTCTTAAAATATACTCGTCTAATTTTAAAAAAGCTCATATCATGGACTCGAAAGGAAAATTTATTCTCTTTACAAGAACATTATAAAACTTTATCGAAGAAAGAGATGGTTTGACTCGGTGTAGCAAACAAACCGAATTTCTGTCTCAATTTCCTGATTGAAATTGCTTATGATAAACTTGTGATAGACTTGTGGATATATAAATTTATGAAATACTTGAGGCTAATAACATTTACGCGATATGTACTTTTCCGTGTGTACGACCGTTTTGCTATTGGCGCGACGTGCGTCTCTCACTCCTCTCGAAAAACCGCAACCATTTTCTGCGGTATGTTAAGCGCGCCTTGAGGAAATCTCTATGACTCAACCGGACTCACGAGAGCGATCACGTTCGTAACTGTTTTCTTCATCGCGTCGCCGCCCGTTGCGCACACCGCTCCATTTCGAAACTGGTGTAAGACCAATGGTTTACGATCACAATTTTCATTCCATGAAAACCGCAGCACCGACGAATCGCAAAAGCGGAAACCACGGAGGGACAACGCGTCGTTTTCGACGAGCGCCCTAATGGGCGCGAATTCGCGCTATTTCGAGCGGCGTATTTCTGTCATCATCCTGCATCCCTACGTACGGCATCATGTTCGTCTGTTTTCTATTATTAGGTGGTAAACTTAGTTCCTGCGGCTCACAGTTAGATGACGTTAGTTGTAGGTGTAATTTATTTTGACATCTGAAACTGGCTGCATTTTAGAGGTTAGACATTTGTCAATAAAATTCAGTGCGAAGAGATTCATTTAAGCGAGCAGTGCTATTTTTTCTTTTGATTAAATATGGAACGTGATAAGTCGTTTTTTCGACATGTGCTGCTTCATTACTTTGACTTGAAAAAAACTGCAGCTGCAGCTCATAAATTGCTTTTCGAAGCTTATGGCAATTATGCTCCATCGGAAAGAACATGCCAAGTATGGTTTCAGCGATTTAAGAGTGGTGATTTTGATGTCAATGATAAAGAACGCTCAGGCCAACCGAAAAAGTTTGAAGACACCGATTTGCAGGCATTATTGGACGAAAACTCTACTCAAACGCTCCAAGAATTGTCTGCAGCATTAAATGTTACTCCGATGGCTGTTTCCAAACGTCTACATGCAATGGGAAAAATTCAAAAGGAGGGAAAATGGGTACCACACGAATTAACCGCAAATGCCATTGCGAATCGCTTAAACATCTCTATTTCTCTGCTCGCCAGGCAGAAAAAGAAGAGTTTTTTGTGGCGCATAGTGACTGGCGATGAAAAATGGATATACTTCGATAATCCTAAACGAAGAAAATCATGGGTAGACCCTGGCCAACCATCGACATCCACACCAAAGAGAAATATTCATGGCCACAAAGCAATGCTTTGCATTTGGTGGGATATGCACGGCGTCGTTTATTATGAGCTACTCAGACCGAACGAAAGTATCACGGGGGATCGATATCAATCACAATTAAACCGTCTGAATGAAGCATTGTTGGAAAAAAGGCCAGCAGTAGCCAGCAATCGACGTAAAGTCATGCTTTTGCACGACAACGCTCGACCACACGTTGCCAAAGCCGTCAACGAAACACTGATGCAGCTCGAGTGGGAAGTTCTCCCGCACCCAGCGTATTCACCAGACTTAGCTCTTTCGGACTATTACTTGTTCCGGTCGATGCAGCACGGCTTGGTGGATACACACTTCAGAAATTACGAGGATGTGCGAAAATGGATCGACGAATGGATTGCATCAAAAGACCAATCGTTCTATCATCGCGGAATCTACGCGTTGCCCGAAAGATGGGAAAAATGTATAGCTAGCGAGGGAAAATACTTCGATTAATGTATTTTTGCTTTTGATGTCGAAATAAATGAGTTTTTAAACAAAAAAACCGCAGGAACTAAGTTTACCACCTAATCAATCTTACTTGGTTGGTCTATTTCCGTGATGAACGGATAAAGTGGCGCGACGCGGAGTACCTCCGATCGGAAAATGCGAAAGACGTGGCCCGAGCTTCCAATACGAGGAAGAAAGAGAAGGATCTGTGCCATCGGACGCGCAGAGAATCGCGCTGAAATCCGGCGGGCGGAAAGAAGCACGGCAAGGAATGCGGCGCCTCGATAAATAACGTCGGCTCAGCGCGAAGCCATTCCGAAACGGCACTCTCGTTTCTCGAAAAGCGAGCCTCTCTCTAAGATGGCTTAAGGCGATTTACGCGACGCCGTGGCTCGTCGTCGACAAAGAGCTTTTTCGAATTTCGAATTCAGCCTAGCCGGCTGAGCCGCGGCTTTCATCGTTCGGACGAGCTCACTGCTAAACGCTAAACTCCCGTTGTCTCTCACACGGGTCTCTCTCGCGGCTTCCGGGACACCCATCCCGCACAGAAAGTTTCAGAAAGAACCCTAGTTGGGTTCCAGTCCGATTTTCCGAAAATAATTATAGGGCTTCTGCAGAGAAGTTTAGTGTTTCCAACATGCGATTCTGAATGAGGAAACTCAAAGATTTCCTGGTATTTTTTCTCATCGTCACTTTATGTTTTAAAATTGAATGATACATGTTAACTTTTCAAATAATTATAGTAAAATGCTCTCAAAATGTTTTACAAATATTTTATCCCATTCTATACAATAGTTGGCATAAAAATGGGATTTTCTGCGTGATATTATAAAAGCATACCGACATTACTGAAGCACGAATTCCCACAGTATTTCTGTTTTGATTTTAGACAGAGAACCCATGTCTAGGTCAGGAGTGGGATTTCCAATTGTAAAGTCATAGTGGGATAATCAATTCTGGGACACATTTAAGCACTTTAATCAGAATCCTATGCTGCATTGGGAAAATGTTGGGAAATTTCTACGTGGGATGGCAAATCATATTCGAAGAGTTTGACGCGAAATTACGTTCGCGTTTATAAATATCGCGTGGAATTGCTGAAGGGAAATTTCTCATTTGTTACTCCGTCAAAACAGCCACAGGAAAATTCATGAACTTCTCGCGATCGTGTTCGCGAGGCGAGATTTCACGGCGCGTTAATGAGTATGCGCGCGTTTGCATTCGCATCACCGATTTTCTTTGCTGTATCGCTGCGCAACGATTCACTTATTCCGCCTTGCAATCGGAGAAAATATGCGAGCCGAAGCGCACCGTCGAAAACAAACTCGTGTGAAAATTTCACTTTCACGCATTACTCGTCCGCGGCCCGCGCACGCAGTTCACGCAATTTTCTCAACCCTCTCCTATCTTCCTCTGCTATCCGCGCGGTCGAGCGATCGACAAGATTGCGATTCCACGCAGATCGTAGAGATCTGGGAGGAATCTGCGCGTCGCTCGCGGCACCGTGAAGTACAAAATATTCTAAACGACGTGTATAAAGTTACACGCGTCGCGGAGTCGATTTCAACCTTCGGCAGAAATCGCGAGCAGTTGGGTGGAACTTTTTCAGCTCGTGCGAGCAATTGACCTTTTATTTTATAATTAGTTCCATACGAGATATTTCATGCCGAGAGAACCGGTGTGAAAATTCAGTCGTATTATTCGTTTCGCCTCGTGGTTTCGCTTTAAAGCAACGCTACTCTAGGGCGACTCCTTTCACTCTCGAGGCGACTGTGGCCAGTTTGATTTTTTTCCCAACGTATTAGATTTATCGATGTCGCGTGTAATTGTGCTGATTACAATACGTGCGTCAATACAATACATTCTGTATGCATAATCGATGACGCATTATCGTTCGCAGTCGGTCGAGCGAGTTGCAAGTAAACAAGACACGAACATGGCATTTAACGAGCACGTATTTTATTTCAATTACATTATTTCCACTTCCAAATTGTTTGTTTTAGAAAAGATTAGTGACTATGCTGTGCTTCTTGATACATTACTAAATAATTCATTAGGAACGATCGACTCTAAATTAACTCGATTAACAAATTCGAATTAAAACGAACACTTCTTATTTTCCAGAAAAATTCTGCATACAGAAAAATACATACTGCATTCAAGAAAATGCCACTTGTTCCGAGTATCTTATCAGTTTATATATTTGCAAATCTCTGTCATAAGTCAGTCATAATGCATCAGAAAGATTTACTTAAAATACATTCTGGATTTTCTAGTAACTTCGATATTTCAAGAAAATCAAATTACAACAAAAATTCGATTTATTAAAATCAATAAAATCAATAAAATATTTTTGTAAAGAGAATAAATTCTCATGTAAGTGTAATAAATAAGGTGAAATATGAAGTGAACTTTTCTCAAATGTTTGATAAGTACATTTCAAAATTATTATTAAAAAAATATTTTGTGTTGAAGATAACTATTACTTAAAAGAAGACAAGTAAGCTGAGTAATCTTACTGCTGAGTTTGCTTACTACATAGAGTCGAATCGACATTTTTTTCAATTGAGTATTATAATATTTTTGTAAGAGGAATAAATCCTCTATTTGAATGCATGATAAGTTTTTCTAGAATTTATGATGAGTGTATCTCCAAGACTATTACAAATGTTCTTTCTCGAAGATAACCACCACTTGAAAGAAGAAAAGCAAGCTGAGTATTTGCTTTTCTAGCAGTGACATGATATCTTTCTGTAAGCAGGATTTGACAGTCGGGGAATTAGGAATTGCCTTTTCTCTCGCGTTATCCAAGTTGATGCCGAGCGGAAACCGAGAGTTTCGAATAATGCGAGGCTTTGCGAGGTCGCAATCACGATTTCCGCCGCAATCGCATGATACGATCGTTCGCGACACCGCTCTAATTGCGGTAATGAGCTAAATCCGAGTTGAAGTAATGCGCGAGATCCGGCGCTCGCGCTGGCGCCGATTGCGCTTTCTTCTTCGTGCGGCCGCCGCCACCGCCTAAAATGAATAATGACACGGAACAGAGCGCGCACGGATGCAATTGCAACGGCAAAAGCGGGCAATCTCGGGGGGGAGGCCGGTGCGGCGAGATCCTTTTGCCGCGCGCTGCCCACACGCGGCACGCGGGAAATTTCATTTCGCGCGGTACGATCGGTGAGATTCGTGCTCTCGGATTTATTATAGCGAATACGATAGCGTTGCTCGTGCGCGCAGGAAATTCCATTACTCCGTGCGAGCGGCGGGATCGATCTCGCCCCGACGAGGATGCGCCGACTTTCGCGCGATTGCAGTTGCACCTGCTGTAGCTGCAGTTGCAGTCGCGCCCGCCGAGCATCGTATCGCGAGCGAGTTCGTGTCCGACGGAAATTTCAATGCGAGAAGGTTACCGGAGAGACGGATCGGCGAAGAGCCGCGGGAAAAGAGTGGAGAGTTTTTTGCACGAGCCGGAATTTACAAGGCGTTTCAGCGAGCACTCGTGCGAAAATGCGGGAAACTCGAGCGAGCGAGCGAGCGAGCGAGCGAGAGAGAGCGGCCCCGTTGGTTTTCCTCAGGGAAAAGCGCTCGAGTGTCCGCCGTGCGAGCACTTTGCAGGTTCTTTGTCAGATGCGAAACGCAATTAGCATTTTACGACAACGAGGAAGACGACGTCTCCGGGTGAAGCGCATTCACGAGCACGTTTCGACGTCGCTACTCATCTTCCTCGCACCGACCACTTTCAAGCTGATGTTTGTTACATCCGCCGAGGGACTCGCGCTTAAGGAGTTTACTTACTTGAACCAAAATGCTTCAAGTTATTCAAAAATTTCACGTAACATTATATAAAAAATTATATAAATAAAAAATTTCATGTAA